TGGCCCTGTCTCCTGGGCTTATTCAAAAGTCACTGATCATTACCTCAGTAGCCTAGGAGGTGGCCTGGCCTGAAAACTAGCTCGATAAGGCTTCTCTATACTGAGTGGCTCTCAAGCCTTTGTACAACGATCCACTTAACTGTCCAAAATACTCCTCAGTCCATCCGGCCTAAACACCCTACTTTCTGATAAATACTCTATAATGACAAAGACCCAGCAGGACATAGTGAATATACAAATATTATTTATATTATAATATAGTATAAAACAATCCTCAGTACACTTGAAAAGTCACTTCATAATAATCACCTTGACATTGTGTTGAAAACTAGTAACACACGTGTAGTAGTAGCACAGCAGCCATGAAGTATCCCTCCCTGTCTTAGCACAATTTGAAAAGTCGATAGATACCTGCTTTAGCAATAGGGGCATGGATTATTCCTATTTCAGCAGCAAGGAATACAACTTGTCTTCTAGTCTAGTTATTGGGAAGTATAAACCAGAATTATGCAAAGATGTTTTGCTACACATTGTAGGGTTAACCAAACAACACACTATAAACTCAACATATAAAGATAAAGAAAACAGACAGTATCAAGTAAATAAAAATCAGTACCAACTTTGACCAACCTTACACTCGGCAACAGACGTGGACATAAAATGCCTAAGGAGGTTGCACTCACAGGTGACCAAATGTCCCCTTTCAAGCACTCCAGCTTTATTTTCTGGATTCTCTTTCCTGGGAGGGAAAGGGGAAGAGATGAAAAAAAGGAGAGAGAGGGTTCTCTGAGCCTTACTGCCCCCCAGGTATCTGGCCACTTCCGAAGATGAACCACAGCATAAGGCTTCAGAACTTCCTTCGTGGGGGTGGGGTGCCGGAGCCTGCCGGCAGTCGAGCAGTAACCTGATTGAGGGGGTGAGGATTGGAAAAGAAAGACAAGAGACAGGATGGGATCGGGAGGGCTTCAGTACGTGACTGAGCCCCGAGTTTATTTTTCAGCTTGTAATTATAGCGCATTCAGTAAGGCAGCGGTTAAATCAGTAACCTTTGTCCCATGTATGTTCCCCACCTAGCTCTTTGTTCTCATGCATACATCATTGGTAGCCCTGTTCCTTGTTCTCGTACATACATCATTGGTAGCTGGGACATGCTGCACTTCTAACCCGGCCACGGTTCCTGGATCAAGGTACTTTCTCATACAAGCATTGTTAATATTGGCCTCATGCTGAGCTACTCCTCATACAAGCATTGNAAGACCCAGCCAGAGTGCTCAAGTTAGTTCATTCCACAAGAAAAGCTGAGAACTGTCCGTCATCTTGACAGTACCTGGTTGGCTGCCTATAACCTAAGGAAAATGGCCAGAAGAGCTTTAAACTTTAAAACATACATTAAAATTCAAAGCAATTGAGGTTTGGCAGTGGTAACACCACTGTTCCTAGAAGTCTTTCTAAAACGAGGGCAGGGCATGAAAGACGTAGCTACTGTAAACAGATATTTTTGCTTTTCAATTCTTGACTCTGCAAAGGTTGGAGAAAAGGCCGCAAAGAGCAGGCTATGAGTCACCCCTAGAAAAATGCAGAAAACGAGCAGCAGCAAACAGCCCGCTGGGTCCGGGCCCCGGCCGCTGGGTCTGGGGCCGTTGTTGCAACACCTCCCTGCTCTCCAGTTACTACCAGTAACTCCCCTTGGTTTCCTGGGAGTGCGATATTTTAATAAAACTAAGAGTATTTATTTTAAATAATATAAATATGGGAAGAGGTAATGAATGGAACGTAGTGAGTATAAACACTTTCTACATTATACTATATACAAGTCACATAACAGGTTATATTTGACTAAATCTTATCGTAAATGTTGATACTCAAGTCATAGGGTATTTAGAATTGCAAATCAAATCCTATCTCAAGATAATTATTTTCTTTCTTTTTAAAAAAAAAAAATATATATATATATTTTAGAGAGAGAGGGAGAGAGAGGGAGAGAGAAATAGAAACATCCACAAGAGAAAAGCATCCATCGGCTGCCTACTATTTGCCCCCTACTGGGGATGGAGCCTGCAGCCCAGGTATGTGTCCTGACCCGGAATCGAATAATGGTGGTTTATTCAATATATAACAAAATATTATCTAACTTTATTTATTATAATTATATAATAATATAATAATATGATATAACAATTATATTATTCAATTATATTATTATATAATTATTAAGTAATATTATTATGGTCACCTCCTGGTGCATGGAATGACACTGAGCCACACCGGCTGGGCAAGGCAACTATTTTCAATTGGACCATTATTGTTATGCATTTTGTTATGTATTTTATAAAAAACATTCACCGGCAATGAAAATTATTTAAAATTCACATAAAGAAAAAAACTCTTCCATTTGAAGAGACATTCATTGCAGGAATAAACTACATTCATTAACCTAAAAAAAGGGTTAATACTAGGCTTTTACCTCACCTAATTAAAAAAAAATTATAGGTGTATTTGTATCATAGCATGCATAAGGCAATGGTGCCTGGCCAACTAGCACAAACCAATAGATGCAAAACTGTGTGCCTTTAGTAAACAATTCTGAACAAAATTTAAACAACAACAACAAAATAGCAATCATTGAGAACCACAAAAATTTCCAGATAACTCTGGCATGTCACTTTGTTCAAAAGTGTCCTTTCCTATTGCTGGAATTCAAAATATCTGTGTGACAATGTGTACAGCAGAATTGTAAAGTTGCCAAGACCAAGAAATCTTGCTGGAATATTGATTCAGAATCCTCAGTAAATTGATTTTCATTTATCAGTACCAGGGTTAATAATATTTAATAATTAAAAGGCCAAATGAAAGTTTATGTAAGGGGTCTTCAGATCCAAAGAAAGAACTTCTGTTCTGAATCGTTTCAAGGTTCCTCAAGGTAATCCTTGTGGCTGAATTTGAAAATTCAGTCTGCCAACCTGAGGGTCCTGGTTGACCAAACCCACTGGATCTGGAAGCAGAGAGCCTGCTTGAATCACCACAAGGGGAGCCTGCTGTGAGGAGGCAAAACATTGAACTCCTGAGAGCTGCACTGTATTCAGCTGTTTTTGACTCTTTCCTTTTTTGTGCATCCTGATAATAGATCTTACCACCCAAAGAAGATTGGAGACTCTGGTTCTTGCAACCTGAAATATCCTAACTTATGACCAGAGTTTCATCTTGGCCATCTATTTCTCGCTTGAGAGACTGCTCTGCAGACTTTTAAATTGTTTGAGTCTTGAAGAAGGAAACATAGTCATGTATCATGTGTGCAATAAAAAGCAAGCAAGCTGGTTTTAAACTCCATTTTTATCAAGCTGTCCACCCACTGGAAAAATTGCTTGTCTCAGAAAACTGTATCACCCTAAAGATATTTAAGAGTTTGTTCTAAAACAGTGTTTATCAAATTTTACTGTCCAAATGAATTACCTGGAGATCTTGTTAAGATGCAGATTCTGAATCAGTGGGTCTGGGGGGGGCCTGAGTCTGCCTTTCTCACGAGCTCCCAATGCTGCTGGTCCACGGAGCACACTTTGGGCATCAGCTTTGAGGTTGCTGCTGCCCTGGTGCCATTTCCCTGCAATCCAGGGCATCAGTTTCCCTGCCTTCCTCATACTCATGTGCATTTACCACTGGGGAGGGGCTTCGTGTCCCCAGAGAACCAGAATACATGTGGAAAAATTGGCTGAGTTGAATCAAAATGCATTGGTTTGGCCTCTGTCGACACGTTGCCTGTGTCTGTAACTGCATTTCAGTTCCAATAAACGCACTCACATGGATCTGAGGTAAACATATTGGTTTAAATGAAAATTCACTGGTTGGAAAACAAAAATAGGATTGCCGTGAAAACACATTGCATTAAGTATTTTGCATAATTCCCACAAACAGATGCTTGGAAATCGATGTTTTGGCTTCAGTGGCACTTCATTGAATTCACTGGCCTGCTATTTGTTTCACTGAATATGTATGAGCTTTGATGAAAATGCATCGCTTGGAAGAAATCAGTCAGGCTCTTCCTATACAGGCCGGGGGTAATGACCTTCTTAATTCACAGCGCCATGCCATCTTGGCTCTCGTTTATGAATACATGTTATTTGTAATGCTCCATATTGCTTATGTGGCAGGTAAAACAATTTTATCTGTTCCTTGAGTTTCTAATGTAGTGGATACATTGAACACTAAAGAATATAAATGTGACTAAAATCCATGTTAGAATAACTATAAATGTAATTTTTATCTCAAAATACTATTTTTTCTCAACCAACTTTTATACAGAAAAGCACATTCTGAAATGTTGCACTAAATCTAGAACCAATTGTGAAATCACAGTACTGTGCACTAAACAAAAATATTGTCAGTAGTTGATAAAATAGATGGTATCGCCGCAGTAAAGCTGCACTGGAAACCAATGTATTGAACTGAAGACAGAATTATAATTTGTGTCAAATTAACATCCTGAAATGAGCCCACATTAAATAGAATGCTCCTAAGTATATTGCTAATTCCTGTTGCTACCCAAAGATATAATGGTGGCAGAAGGGAAAGAGCAAGGGCATTTTCTTTATATTGTGATGATGCTCTAACACGGTGTTTTAGATACTCAAATGGATCAAACTATAGCACGTGCTCAGCCAGTTGCCTGGTGTGCAAAATTATTCTTGATTCAGTGTCAGAATTTAAAGGGGCAGCTACATAGATATAGCTAGTTGGACTTACTTCTTTTATCCACCAAATCTAGCTTGATAAGAAACTCTTGAGCCTGAACATGCCAAAAAATGAGCTAAATGGTACTTCTGGGCTGTAGGAATACGGGTGTCATTTTGTTGGGTTAGTTATAAAACCCAAGTCCAGGTCAAAACTGCCGGTTCCATGGCTATGTGACTTCCAACTACCCTGTCCTTGCAATTCTGTGCCCAGAACAGTGTCCCTTAATGACCCAGAATGGCTAAAAAAATTAAAATTAAAATTAAATGCATTACCTTTTCTCTTCTAGCCCTGATATATTATCCGGAGGGGATGCATTCTGAAGTACAGTATTTCCCCCTTATCAGTAGTTTCACTTTCTGCAGTTTCCATCCTCTGTGGTCAACCGTGGTCTGAAAATATTAAATGGAAAATTCCAGAAATAAGCAATTTATACATTTTAAATTGTCTTATGTTCTGAGTAATATGATGAACTTTTGCACCATCCCACCCGAAACATGAATCACCCTTTGTCCAGCATCTCCAGGCTGTGTTCTCTCCCCACCGGTTAGTCACTTAGTAACCATCTCAGTTATCAGATCCACTGCCCTGGCACTGCAGTGCTTGTGTTCAAGGAAATCTTATTTTGTTTAATAACAGCCCCACAGTGCAAGAGTAGTGATGCTGACAATTCAGATCTGCCAAAGAGAAGCCATAAAGTCCTTCCTTTAAATGAAAAGGTGAGTACAGTGCAAGAAGATATTTGAAGAGAGATCATATTCACATAACTTTTATTAGTATATTGTTATAATTGTTCTATTTTTATTATTAGTTATGGTTATTAATCTCTTACAGTACCTAATTTATAAATTAAACTTTATTATAAGTATGTAAGTAGAGAAAAAATATAGTGTGTGTGTATATATATATATATATATATATATATATATATATATACCCCTTATATATACTATATCTGTAACTTCAGGCATCCACTGGGGGTAGTGGAGAGACCACTGTAGATGGAGATGGTACATCATGGTGTCTACAATTTACTTTTAAATGGCTTAGAAGAAAATGTGCTCCTCTCTTCCCTCTCTCTTTCCCTCATCAGCTATCATCTATGTCCTATATCATCTATCTATCAAGATACAAACAAAAGCAGTAAAATAATAACAACTGTTAAATCCAGGTGTAGGGTATTGGGGTGTTTGTGTACCATTCTTCCAGATTCTCCGGTTACTTGGGTTTACTGTTTTTTAAAAGTGAGAAGAAAAGACATGGCCTTGACTGGGTGTGAGGACAGAGAAGAAAGGGCCGGGCCTGTCCCGTTTCCTGATGTACAATAAGTGCCTGACACACATCAGTGCTAATAAATAATTTTTAAACTTACGTTCCTTTATTTGTCAGAAAGGAAGGAAGGAAGAAAGAAGAAAAAATGAAAGCGGAATCAAGGATTCCTAACAGTGTAATTTAACTTGTGGAATGTCAAATTTGTTCCAGAAATCAGTTAAAATAAAGAAAAATAGACTTCTGGAAGGAAAAAATCTTGCCTTGATTTTTTTAGTCACCCCAGCCCATCGTCCATGGATATACTTTTCACCCCAGTAAAATCTGTCCCCCTTGTCTCCCAAGATCTGTATCCATAGACTTCTACTCTGCTATTAAAGAAACAAGCGTAGCCTATTGCAAAACCAGGAAAAAGCACAACCTCAAATGCCCAAGAGGTTGAACAATCAAAGAGCTTTAACTGCCTGGCAGAGTCCTTATGTTACTTCCACTGAAACCTATAAAAGATAACAGGCCTTCAAGTTTTTGAGAAGTAACATATTTCGGGGAAAAGTAATAACTGTGTACTGCATCCTCTGGGGATATCACACCGTTTTTTCCCGCAGACATTTCCCAAATGTGGCAGAGTCACGTTTTCCCACCACATATTGTGGCACAGACATAAGAACATCCGTGGATGAGAGACCCAAGAAGTAGAACAATTTCAACTTAAATTCCTCTGAACCCCTCAGAATTGAAGAATACAATAACTGAAATGAAGAATACACTAGAGGGAACCAACAGGAGATTATATGAAACACAAGATCAAATCAGAGCTCTGGAAAACAAGATAGTGGAAAACACCCCATCAGAACAGAGCAAAAAAGAATTTTAAAAATGAGGATAGTCTAAGGGACCTCTGGGACATCATGAAGCATAACAATATTTACATCATAGGGGTACCAGCTTTTTCTCGTCCAGGAAGCTCTTTATTTATCCTTCAATTTTAAATGATAGCCTTGTTGGGTAAAGTAGTCTTGGTTGTAGGTCCTTGCTTTTCATCACTTTCAATATTTCATGCCAATCCTATCTGGCCTGAAATGTTTCTGTTGAGACACCAACTGACTTTCTAATGGGAGCTCCCTTGTAGATAACTAACTGCTTTTCTCTTGGTGCTTTTAAGATGCTCCCTTTGTCTTTAACTTTTGGCATTTTAATTATGATGTGTCTTGGCTTGGGTATTTTGGGGTCCATCTTGTTTGGGACTCTCTGTGTTTCCTGGACTTGTGTGCCTTTTTCCTTCACCAGATTGGGGATGTTTTCAGTCATTATTCCTTCAAATAGGTTCTCAATCGCTTGTTCTCTCTTCTCCTTCTGGGACCCCTATGATGCAAATGTTGTTACTCTTCATGTTGTCCCAAAGGTCCCTTTAACTATCCTCATTTTTAAAAAATCTTTTTTCTTTTTGCTACCCTGATTGGGTGTTTTCTGCTACCTTGTCTTCCAAATTGCTGATTCAGTCTTCTGCTTCATCCAACCTACTCTTTATTCCTTCAACTGTATTCTTCATTTCAGATCTTGTATTTTTCATTTCAAACTGTTTTTTGTGTGTGATTTCCATGTCCTTTTTCATGCTATTGTCATTCTCACTAAATTTCTTGAGCATCCTTATAACTATTTTTTTGAACTCTACATCTGATAAATTGCCTCTTTTTTCATTTGACTCTTCTTCTGGAGATTTCTCCTGTTCTTCTGTTTGGGGCATGTTTCTTTGTCTTCCCATTTTGACTGCCTATATATGTTTGTTTCTATAATTAGGTAGACCTGCTATGACTCCCAGTCTTGGTAGAGTTGCCTTATATAGTAGGTGTCCTATGGGACCCAGTGGTGAAGTCTCCTTGCTCACCTGAGCTGTGTGCTCCAGGAATGTCTCTTGTGTGAGTTATGTGGGCCCTCTTGTTGCAATTGAGTTTTGATTGCTACAGGCCCATTCATGTGTGGGGTCGACCTTTAGGCTAGCTGACGGTGAGGATCAACTTTGACCACAGTGTATGAGCTGCTGCGCAGGTGCTGACTCCATGAAGTGGAATTTACCTCAGTGGAGTCTGGAGCTTGCCGAGATCTCCCTTTGGATATGCCACTTATGAAACTAATTGGATCTTGCTATGAAGGTGTCTGAAGTTGGCCACTGGATGTGTTGGTTCTGGGGCCTCTCTGGAGGGACTCTGGTATAGGCTGATGTCAGATACCTGTGACTGGCTCTGGGCAATCTGTTTGGAGCTCTAAAGAAATCCACAGTTTGTGGCTGCGTCTGCTGGGCCTGGGTGTTTGAGGAAAGGACCAAGTTACACCAAGACTGGCTTTTACCAGCACCAGGCCTGGGGGCAGGTCAAAAAAAGTCCCAAGGCACCCTAAGATCTGCCTGTGTCTGCTTCGCCTGCTGGCTGCCTGTTAGGCTCAGTCACTGAAAGGGCTTGGTACTTGAGTTGCATGAGGTAGGTTCTCAGTGAGTCACCAGTTAGGGACAAGTGGTATTCACCAAATTGATACAGGTTCAAACTCAGTGCCAGTGCTGGGTCTGAGGCCACTCAGCAAATGTCCCAGGGTACACCAAGTCTATGTGCCACCCACTGGGTGCTGGCATTCCTTTGTGTGGGGCAGGATCTCAGGGAGTCATCAGGGTGAGGCCAGCAGAGTTGATCAGGCCCAAGCAGACCAAGATTTGGTTGTATGAAAGGAGGACTCTGTATTGATTGGGAGAGGGAGGGAAAAATGTCTCCCACCCTCAGGTCACACAACTCAGTCTGTCTCAGATTCTGCCAGGAGTCCAATCTCAGCAGGGCAGGGCTGCTAGGAGTTGGGAGGGTGGGACTAGTAGATCTCTCAGGAGGGGAAGGTGTCATCAGGATTGGGGGAAGGTAAGGGGAGTGGCCCCCACCCCTCAGCCACACTACTCAGTCTGTCCCAGAATCTGCTCAGACCTCGGTAAGGCGGAGCCACCGAAAGTCAGGAGGGTGGGGTTGTTGGAAGCCCAGAGAGTGGGGCTAAAGAATCTCCCTTGAGGGGGAAGTGCCAGTCAGCTTCATGAGAAAGTGGGGGGGATGGCCTCTGCCTCCAAAACACACAACTCAGTTACTGACACTGCCTGAGTCTGCTCTGACCTCTACACGTCTGCCCAGGCAGCTGACTGCTCAGCAAGGAGCAAGCTCTGCATGGTGGGGCTAGAGGAAATTTAGAGGGTGGGGTTATTGCTTTCCCCCAGGCTGATGCCCTATGGATGGGAGTGCCCCACCCAAGATAGATGGCATCTGTGGGGTGGAAGAGTGACTCAGAGCAAGAATACTGGTGGCTGTCCCTTTGGCTCTCTCCCCAGAGCCACAAACCCCAGTCTCTTCTCATGTGACTCTCTCCCTCCGCCAGAGCCCAGGGTGAGTGGCTGTGAACAAGACTTTGGCACTTTAAGAGGGTGCCTGTGTCTCTAGCAAACTCCTGTCTCTCCCTGGCAGACAGAACACCTGCTGATTTTCACAGCCAGATGTTACATGGGCTCCTCTTCCGGGCCCTGGTGCTCTGAGCCAGGTAGCCCTGTGTGGGGTTGAAATTTCATGCTCCTCCGGGGGGTGGGGGGGGGGACCTTTGCAGGTGAGATATCCCTCCAGAACCTTAGCTGCTGCTGGTGAGAGCAGGGTCAGCCCTTTTCACCTCTCTGCCCTTTCTACAAGTCTGAATGTGGCTTCCTCTACAAATCCTTGGTTGTAAGACTTCTCTTCAGCTAGTTCCAATTGGTTATTCAGGTTGATTGCTCTATATTTTAGCTCTAATTCCAGTTCGGTCCTGGGAGAAGGTGAGTGTAACATCTACCTACTCCACAGCCATCTTCTTAGTATCTTCCCAGACAGCTTTAAAAAAAAAATTTTTTTTTAATTTATTGATTTTTAGAGAGAGAAAGAGAGAGAGAGAGAGAGGAAGGGAAAAAGAAAAACATCAATTTGTTGTTCCACTTATTTATGCATTCATTTGTTGGCTCTTGTAAGCGTCCTGACTGGGGAACGAACCTGCAACAGTGACATATTGGGAGGGTGCTCTAACCAACTGAGCTACTGGGCAGGGCCTCCCACACAACCTTTTAAACCAACTGTGCACT